ACTACTCTTTCTCCTACTACTCTTTCTCTTTTTCTTCTTCACTTCCACCTCTCCATCTGCCCCACATCTTTTGCTACTTTCTCCCTAACGTTCCATGGCCTTTTTTAGAATTTGTTTTGCAGCCTTTTTTCTCCTTCTTCTTCAGCGGTCCTGAGGACCTTAAATTTTGAGTATTCCATAGCCTTAAGGTTTACAGCAATGGAGTCCCAAACTTGATCTCTTTCTGGTGTCCCCTTTCTATACTGGAACACCTCACTAACAGACATTTCATCTAGAAGGGCTCTGTCATGTTGTAGGGTCCACGCCATAGTCAATCTAGGCAAACAAAAATGGAGTATCAGACAAGACAAATAAGTTAGAGGTGGAGAACAGATCTACCCGCCTCATTCCCATCTTTCTAGTTACAGAAAAAATCAAACTCTGGCAAACAAGCCTTCAAAAGGTGCAGGCTAAATTCCTAATTTCAGGGTGTAAAGAAAAAGACCCTGTTGCGTTTTGGTTTACAGAATAGACTAAATAAAATTCTCTCAAATTCTGTAAACGAGGGAGCACAGTTAAAAAAGGAAAAGGTTAAAAAAATTGAATTCGAAGTATCCGCTGGTGATGAGAGGCTTTTACTGAGCAAACTTGGCCAGACAGAATTTGGCGAGACACTTAGGAATTAATTCACTTTCCAAGGATATTGCTTTTGGGAGCGTTCAACCAGTCTACCAGAAAGAAGTGCTAAAGAACTAAAATGCGTTTTGTTACCTCTTTGACAAAGATTTTAAGTTTGGTACTGAAATAATTCCCGGGAGATACTTGCATGCAACAGCAACACCATTTCAGTATTCCCACGCTAGTGCTAAGCTTATTTCTACATTTGAGTACTATTTTAAGTAATTTTCAATGTTTCATTTATACGATACACACACGAAAATAGTGGGCTCAAAACACACAATTAAAAATAAAATATCGGTTTTCAATTTTTTTTGATTAGATACTATTATTTGGCTCGTACGACAATTTCAAGTGTCCATGTAAAGCTCACTTACGGTTTGCTGTTTGCCAGACACTGGTGCTGTTGCAGCAGCAACAACAAATTAATTAAATTTTACTTTCTCTGATTGAAAAAACGGTGGAAAAGCAGAAAAAAATAGAACAGTTCATATATCAGTTCACATCAGTTCGTTGTTTTTTATATTTCTATTTCAAAAAGATGTAATACTGTTCAGTATTCCTACTCAAGAGAAGTTTGTTGATATTAAAGTGTGGTTACTGATCATTTGCAGGTGGTTTTTATGTCATTTTTTTTTTCAATTTTCAAAGAAATATTACTTCTGATATGCTACGACACCTGAAGAGGGCCGTAATAGAGCTTTTAGTGCTCTTTTTGACAACATTTAAATCCCCCCTTTCTATTCTTACTTTCCTTTCTTTTCTTTGTTTCTAACATTAGTATAATAACTGGTCAAGGGTAATCACAGGAACAGTCAGGCAAAATTTGAAATTGACTTATAAAGGGTCCTATTTCTCTCTAACTCTAAGCAAAGTATTCCTAGAAGGTGTGTGTGGGGGGGAGTAGTGCAGTAGTGCACAGACAATACACATTTTGCCAATGTTGCTCATGCTAATTTTTAAATTCTTGTTAAAATCGAAAAACTTGAACAAGTTTATAACATCTCCAAAGAGCCACTCCACTGAAATCCTTACAGAACTCAGGGGAGCATTGAATGCTTCCATTAAAGGAGTGAGATGAGGGTTCCCGAAAGGCCTTGTAGGTGGACTCTGAGTGGATAAGCTGGATCTCCATATATGCAGATTGGTAAGACTGCTGATGAAAACGCATAAGCCTCTAGATCCTGAAGAAGCCCGGAATCAGCCAAAATGCCCGAATCGCACCTATTACCTTCTGAAAAACAAATATCAAATAAATAATTTGAAATTTCCAGGCTTTAAAATGAGTACTTTGTTATGGCTAGTTAAATATTTTATAAAAGGAAGATAGCTACTGGACTATCCATATTGGCAATGAGCCCATTGGGTACAGCAATTGACTGAAACTTCAAGGCGTGGACCCTTCTATGCCCATTATATACAATCCTCTGCTGCTCACCCGGTTTGGAGATAGGACGCACCGTGCCATCAACAAAACCAAAGCAGTTGTCTTGGGCGCGCCACCTTTACCTGCGATGGCAGCAGCGTACTGTTTAAGAAATCCAGGATTTAGCATAGCAGGATTCCACTGAGTGATGCGGTGGCCATGGGTGACGTAGATAAAATCCATCACTGGATTTGTTATCATACATAGCTCAGGAACAGGTCTTCCAAAACGCGAAATCATATCATTGAAACGACAAGGGTATGACAGTCGTCTCAACAGCATGCATAGTCCCTCCATTCCATCGCATACGGTTCCTTGGTAGCATTTCAATGTTCCTGGAATTTGCAAGGCGTTGGCAAGCCTGTGGAGATCATTTTTTTGAACAGGAAATTCTGCCTTACACTCAGCTTCATCCATGTTTACGAGCGTGAACGGATCGTAACTGTCCCAAGGAAGATCGGGATTCGTGGACTTACAATTTTCCCACAAAAGGAAAACTCTTCCTCTGATAACATGTTGTCTGCGTAGCAAATAAGCAATAATAGACCTTGTCACGGTTTTCGACGTCATCTTGACGAGTAGGCAAACGCGTCAGAAATTACAGTGTTTGTATGAGAATCTAATGTCGAATAATTTCCGTAAAACGGCTGTTCTGAACAAAATATCAATTGCAAACTAAAGCTACAAAGCAAAGGATTGTCCTAAAAAAATTTGGGGGGCGTACCCGTGCTTAAATTTCTCCAGGGGCTTTCTTTAGATTTTCCATATATTTGTCTGTAATTTTCCCGGGACTTTCTTACGGACAAATGTATAGAAAATTTGAAAAAGTGGTTCTAGGTCTTCTAGTGCATGTAACGCCCTCAAATCTTTTTCAGAAGAATCCTTAGGAGTGAAGTTTTAGTTTACAAATCATATTTTTTTCAGAACAGCCTTTCTAAGGAAATTATTCGACATTAGATTCTCATACAATAACTGTAATTTCTCACGCGCTTGTCTACTCGTCAAGATGGCGTCGAAAACCGTGACAAGGTCTATTCTCTTAGTTCTTTATGTGAAGCCATGGTCCTTCATCTGTAGTCTTCTAAGGTGCTGTCCTTCTGAGTATTCATTGCGATCTTAACGTTCGAATTTTGGCGGGAAGCGACGGCTACCTCAGTTCCAGGATTGCTCTGCCAGTCCGGTCGCTGTCGCCCCGAAAACGTCTCTATCTTAAGTTCCCTACCATCAAAACAGCTGCTGCTCCACACACAAGCGACCCAAGCTCACTACAGGCACGTGGACGTGACTCTTGCTTGCGAGCGGTTTTGTGTTACAAACGAATATTTAGAAGCCTTAAGGCTTGTATGGGATGTAAACGGTTTTTCTTAAAATAGAAGAAAAATGTTATGTTTTTAAATAAAATCGACTTATTTTATTGCCATGTTGCATTATTTTAGCGTTTTCGTCGAGTTAGCGCTATTTTGGTGTTCCACTGCTAAGAGCCGAAAACGCTTCAAAACGGCCTGAGAGGCGGGCAAACAGCAAAGAATACAACAAGGAAATTAGGTAAGTCGATTTTATTTAAAAGCATAACATTTTTTTCTGTCTTTTAAGAAAAACCGTTTACATCCCATACAAGCCTTTGTAAATGTTCATTTGTAACACAAAACCGCTCGCAAGCAAGAGTCACGTCCGCGTTCCTGTCATGAGCTTGGGGGCCTGTTCTCCACAGAATGTCTTTGAAAGCAAGTCACTGTCGATATACATAGCCTCTGTACAGCCGCTCCCTACCCCCTCAGAAAAAAATCGGAGATGGGGCCTCAGGCTACTTAAGGCATGACTATCTAATTAAATATGCATATTTTGATAAAAATCTATTTAGAATGATTTGCTTCTGTCAATGATCCTGAAAATTGAACTACAAATGTAGTTTAATGGCCTTAGCAATACGAGACATTTTAGAACCTCAAATTTTCGTCACGTGACTGATAATTGAGAACTACGATCAAAACATTTACTCTAAAATGGGGAGAGCATAATGAATTAGCAACAAGTCCTTAAAGATACCTTTTAGAGGGTATTAAAAACTGAGGGGTTCTGTTATATTGGAATCGGTAAATATAGAGAAGGAGGTCACGTGACTTATTAATTAGTTAAATAGCTTATAGTATAAATAACACCCGTGGGGGGGGGAGGGTACTGCCATATATGGGCTATATAGGTATGTGCCGCTGTGAAGGGTATAGTTTTCAAGCAGTTTACTCTAGGATAGGGTATATAAATCAGAGCGTTTGGGTCTAGAATAGGGTCATGAGAAGACACACAGGGCTTGCACTGTAAGTATCCCGGAGAGCTCCATACCATTCCTTATAATTTTGTTATAAGGAATTGTATGGAGCTTTCGAGGAGACTTTTCTTAATAGCTTAGGCGCGGCGGATTTTGTCACGTATGATCAGCGCGAGGTGTTTTTCCCGACACCCTTCTGTCAGGAAAATGTCATCATCAGAAAGCAAAACAGACACGATCGCGTCGGCAGGCCGAAGCCGGCAAAAAGAAAAGGCTTTTCTTCTTCCATTTCAGAGGTCAAAAATCAGGTTTTAGGTTGTAGGTAATAAAATATTGTCTTATTCTGTTCTCAAGGACCTTTAGAAAACGAGACAAACGAGATAATTGACTAGAGAAAGAAGCGTGAAAACGCTTTTTTGGAAGAAAATATTTTTTAATTGCTGCAGCAATTCTGCGTAATCGCGAAGCGCAATATATTCAGTTTCTTCCAAAGCCATCATGATTAAGCAGTGTAATGCCATCACAACTAAAAATGAATTTAGTTTGTATCGCAAAAACCGCGAAAATAGAGCTGAAAAAAAAATGGATCGGAAAATTTAATAAAATCACCAAGAAACCGTCTCGTGGGAGCTTTGTCAAACAAGCCGTTGGTACGGTTTATTTAACCTAACCTGGAAAAGGAGACGTCTGCACGTAGAATACATATCATCCTACGTGTAGTTGTGATTTCCAGAACGGACCTCGGGAGCCTCATTGCGGTAATATTTTCTACATTACAGAAACCACAGCAGAATCGCCCTGCTCGCGTGCTAACTTTCCGCTCCAATTATGACTATACAGTACCAGTGAACTGTTTCAAAATTTAAAGCGGCCGAAACTTATTTCCATCAGCCCGTAGTTAATTAGTTAAGCAATAATAATGCACAGCACTGTAAAAAACACGGTTCTAGAATATCTGACGGCTTCGCGTTTTGTTCGTCGCTGCATGCGATTTAAGCGCCTTTAACCTAACAGAAAATGTAAATATACCTGAAGGAAATACCGTGTATTACCAAACCTTAACGCTGTGATGTGTGTAAATTTGTCTTTTGCTATGGTTTTAGACAATACGACTTCTCCTGACTATCAGTTGTGCGTCAAAACAAGCGCGATAATGAAATAGTCGAAGTGCCATGGTGTAGCGCTTTATGACAAAGTTTTAACTGGAAAACTTGTTACCATCTGATGTACACCTGTATAGTCTATGTTTGTACGCTCCGCCTAAAGAATCACTGGGTTACACTGCACCCATGGGTGTGCCACCTAAAGTGCAGCCTATGTTTGTTAGCACTGCCTAAAGAATCACTGGGTTACACTGCACCCATGGGTGTGCCACCTAAAGTGTAGCCTATGTATGTTAGCTCTGCCTAAAGAATCACTGGGTTACACTGCACTCATGGGTGTGCCACCTAAAGTGCAGCCTATGTTTGTTGGCTCTACCTTAAGAATCACTGGGTTACACTGCACCCATGGGTGTGCCACCTAAAGTGCAGCCTATGTTTGTTAGCTCTACCTAAAGAATCACTGGCTTATATGTTTTCACGGACGTTTGCCTCGCGCTCTCTTCAAAGCCAAAAAGCTATAGTGTGTTTGGCCAAAAATCAAGCTTTGTTTCCCCTAAAAAATTGACACCATATTAGGGCCCCGAAAGACGTTAAAAGGTCCTCCATAATAGAAGAGTGTTTTGCTAGAGTTAACAAACGTTTGGCTTACATGAGTTTCAATATAAAGGTGCAAAAACTTATGAGCATAATTATAGCACACAAACATTGTCATCAAACTCCTGGCATGTAGCCTGAATAAGCCAAGCAAATATGAATAAAGCATATAACGCGAAATATTCGTCAAATGGTCTCGTTAAGTAAATTATACTTCACTTTGCGAAAGAAATTTATCGCTTGTATCCGTGTTACGCATCGAAAAAGCGAGGAGTCATCGCATGACTTTAGGTAACAGGGGTAATACTCAAGAGTTTCACGAATTCCAATTCCACGATTTTTCGCCGAGTAACAAATTTAAAACTTCAATTCTTACCTTACAGTGGTCGGTTCATTTACCTTACATTTGCCAACACTAATAAACATGAACAAAATCATGAAATCCGGCACTCTTCTTTCAGAAGTAGCAAGCCGCATGAAGTAAATCCACCGATATGCGCTGCATTCTCACTACAAATATAAACATTTGTCGTGAAGAAAATACGACGAGGAGGAAAAAATGCCAGTCTTCGCCTCGGCAATGTATTCCAGCTACCAAGCCGGCGTATCTCCTGAAGGTGGACTCGAAGTGGGACAAACCTTGTGATTTTTTTAGGAGCCCTTTGCGCGCAAACTAATTTATTCTGGCGCGAAATGAAGATTAAGAAAATGTATCTGAAATCTAATACATGACAAGAAAATTTTCGCACTTTCGAGGAGGGCGACATATTAAATGGGATTAAGTCGGATTAGCTGCCCGCGGAGAAAACATCCCTGCGTGCGATGGTACTTCCAGTAAAAAGCCTCTGTGTCCTCTCATGTCATTTTTCAGGAAACTGATCAATTGGTTGAAGACTTTATCTAAACTAGGGATTGTGGTATAAGGTTTTGCTTTGGCTAGACTGTGCTAGTCACCTCAGTAGTTTCTGGAAAACAGCTACTCTAGGATAGGAGGGATTTGGGGAGTTAACTCTAGTATAGGGTAGCAAAATTCAGTTTAACTAGCTCCGGTATAGGTTAAGGGTTCCAAGGTCCCAGCGGCACATCCCCACCCAGAAATTCCTGAAGTACCCCCCCGGGGACCCGGGGGAAATAACAATTCCAAACATACAAGGCAGATTTACGAATTACACTGTTTATGTAACTTTTTGGTAGTTAAGACTCCTAAGATTAATATTTGCAACCCTTCCACGTTTAGGAAAATGAGTTTTGTGACGCTATTGACGATCGAAGCAATGTCACATGTTGTTTTCGTTGAGCCACATTTGTAGTTCACTTTGGAAGCAAACCCGTCTAAATAGCATTTAACAAAATATGCATACAGTGTTTAATTAGGTAGTCATGCCTAAGTGGCCCGAGGCGGCTGCACACATGCTTACTGTCAATGACTGACACAAAGTCAACATCAACCCAAG